GCTGTCGCTGTGGAGGGACACTGCCTTTGCCTCACCTGACATTTAGCTGGAGAACACTGAGCTGTGGTACCGCCGACCCGTACTACGTGTGTTTGGGACGGCATCAGGATTTGGTAGGCACGCATACCTGCGTCTACAATTCCGTTTTAATCGACATTATATTTACTTTTCTGAGTTGATACCCTGATGTTTTCTGGTTATACATACAAAACGCTCCATCTTCTTATTCACTGACGTCTCAACCAAGGCACAACATATGTTCAGAGCCAATGTAAAATTGATATAAAAAAAACAATGTATAATATTATTACTCTGTGTAATTGCCCTGTCTTGCTATTTTTCTGTACCGCAGTTTGGCGATATTTGCCGGCTCAAATATGTTTATATAATATATTCACATACATTCATTTTCTGCTAGGTTTAATCATCTGTATTACTATTTTCGTAGCTTGGCGGTTTTAGCAGCGTAACTGTAACAGGGAAGCTTTGCGCTTTCACCGAGGCAAAAGAGTTGTCCCATTTTTCCCAAGAAGCACGCAATGCAGTGCGTTAAGACATTCGTGCGGCGGACGACATCTTCACTTAGAAACGAGGCAATACCTTCCACGAGACTTTCGAGAGCCAGATGCTGCTCAAGGTCACCAAAGTGTGACTGGTGACAACAACAAACGCTTCCATAACACTGTTGTGTTTTGTGCCTTACTTTAAGAAAGTAAGGAGGAAAATAACGCCGCGGAAGTAACGGATTACTTTTTGTGGTAACGGTCACTTACTTGTATGGACGGGTAATTGTAACTGTAATTAGTTACAATTTAGTAATTAGACAATTACTAAATTGTCTAATTACAATTACAATTTACAATTTAATTACATGTAATTTAGTAATTCTGCAATTAGTTAGATTTACAATTATCATTTACAATTCAATTACAATTTAATTACAATTTAGTAATTCTGCAATTAGTTACAATTCGTGTAATTGTAAATAGAATTCCTTACTCCTTTCAGTAAGGAATGCACAGGTCTGCATACAAGTGCCAACAGTAAAAAGACAGAGATCGGGAGGTTTCAACAAGACTAGCTTAGCTATCGTGTGAAGGAAGTTGTGTGAAGGAAGGAAGGTCTAAACTGGTAAATGCGTCTCTAGTGAAAACCGCAAAAATCGCAACACACATTTTGCCCTTTCGAAGCCCAAAACTCAAGAACAAAAACATTTCCGTACTTCTAATTTGCAGTCTTGTTGTAGTCGCACATTTTCCACCAATATTTATATATATACTTTTTTTCCAGAAGTTTTTTTTTTTATTTTTTTTTTTTTTATTTCACGATTTAATATGAAATCACCCTTTGGTACCTGAGAGGCGAAACTTAGCTGGCTCAACACCCGAAATAAAAATACTTTCTAATAAAACGAGTTATAATTGAATATGCCAAAATCTTACGGGACCCTCATGTCCTAAGAAATTGCTCAAAACTAGAGAAAATCCAGCGACGAGCCTCCCGTTTCATCGCTAATAATTATCGCCGCATTCACACGCCTACTAAACCTTATGTAAACTTGTCAACCTTCCAACACTTAAATGCAAAGCTGAGCTTGATAGGTAAAATTGATTTTCTGAATTGTTTAGAATAACGTTAAAATTAATAAATCCAGCTACTTTCATATCCGCACAAGCGAATCATCCAGGCATCGCCATAGCATGTTTATTCCAAACCCATCTGTTCGAAATGACTGTTTTAAATTCAGTTTCTTCCTTAGAGCAATGAAAGAGTGGAATGCTATGCTGGATAAAGTTGTGTCACGCACATCTTTCAATTAGTTTATTTTTTTATGCATTGAATATATTGTTTAACGGCCGCTACTTATTGGGATTTGGCAGTCACACTTTGTTTTTGCGTCTATAAAAACAAATATTTGTTAAGCTCAAATTTTTTTTTGCCTTATGATGCATGTTTTCAAGACATGGTGTTGGCATTTCTCAATGGGCGACTGTTTAGTTGTGTATTTATTTCTGTTAAAGTGTATGTTTTGGTGTTTACGTTGTAATTTTCACTGTCATACGCTGCGAATTCCATTATTATTAATACTGTCAGCCACGAGGGCTGAAAGTAATAATAAATTAAATGAAACAGTGACACAACACCAGCGCATTCTTGCCGTCGCTGTGATGTCTCAGTCCAATTTTCACTGTCATACGCTGCGAATCCCATTATTATTAATACTGTCAGCCCGCGAGGGCTGAAAGTAATAATAAATTAAATTAATAAAATACAATGAAACAGTGACACAACACCAGCGCATTCTTGCCGTCGCTGTGATGTCTCAGTCCAGTGCAGGTCCAAGAACCTTATATGGCAGCAAAGAGCGCAAAGAGCTTTCGCTGTGACGTGCGACAAAACCCGGCCCTTCTGTAATCTTATTCGCTGGCCGGTATCGCACCTTACCTTCGTGTTTTTGCATCTCCGACGATGTCGTCACTACCACCTCACTCTTTATCCTCAGAGAGCGTCACTATCCGTAGTATACTTTTTGCGTGACATGTTGCAATTATTACTGATAATATTGCAATCTATTCTGGAGGCAGAAGCATATCGACAATCGTTAGGAGATACTTTAAAAAAAAATATGCTTCCGCCACTTCAGACTTTCTGTAATCTGCGCCTGCGTTAGTTGTGAGTCACTGCGTTAGAGATTTATTTTAGAACAAGAGTCGCTGTTTGTTTCGCGTTTTCTGTACGAAGCTCACTGGAAGTTGGAAGTGTATATTTGTAAGTACTCAGACATATAGTATATATTGGGCAACTGCTCGAGGATATGAACGAGTCGTCCAGCATTAAGTGTCTGGGACGTGATAATACCATTGGACATCCATTTTACGAATGTTATTTATAACCAGGGTGCCGTGAATTAAAAAAACGTATTTTTCACTTATATATTTTTTCTTTTTTGGGGGGAGGGCGGAAGTTACAAACTTGATGTCTGTTTTTTTTTGTTTTTTTGTTTTTTTTATTTGGTCAAAGGTCTATCGGGGCTTATTTGAACAGAAATAAGACACGGAAAGGGGATTCTCCAATGTTTAGGAAACCGTATGCGCGTGACCCAAAATAAAAACAAATATTAAAAAACAAACTAGGAGAAAATCGCATACATGTCAATTTTTCTAATTATTTACTCGAACTAATCAATACAAATTTTAATTACCGTAATTAGGGTACGTAATTGGAAACTTGAAAGCGGCCATATTACAAGACTTCTTTTCTTATTATTATTATTATTATTCGGGTAACTAGAGTGTGCTCCGAGATATGCGTCTCCAAATTTACTACAGGGTCCGTCTAATTAAGCATTCAAAACGAATGAGATCCGCAGGCCGTAGCGTATGACCAACATTTCCTAGATAACAAGGCCTTGGTTCTGAAGTTTCCGCGTCACTAAAAGAAGCCACCGTAGGGACAGAGATTTGGTACGAATGCTACGTCAGCGTTCGGCAGCAACTCGTGAACCAGTCAGGGAGAACACGAATACGAGCCGAATGCTGACGTCACAATCGGATCCAATCTCTGCCCTGTTTCAGTGGCGCGAGAAAATTCAGCACTTGAGCTTTTCGATTACTAGGATGTGTCGGTATGACGTTCGCTATGACGACGAGGCAAAGCTGATAACTGTTCTCCTTCGCCAGCTGATAGCGAGAGGGCAACTGTTATCAGCTCCGCCTCCCTGCTGTCATACGGGATGTCGCACGCGGCGACTACGTCACACCGGAAAGGAATACTTTTGCGCCGATCTCAGCGGTTTAAAATGCGAGGTTAGCCCAATTGAGGCGGAAGATTTGGAGAATCGTATCTCGTAAAGCAGACCGTTTACGATAATTCTTAAATAAAAAGAAGACAAACACATGAGTTAATGACAGTCAGTGACTATACGGAGAACAAGTTCGTCTGCTTCTTGAACAGGGGTTGCGTTAATAAGCCAATCAGAGCTCAGCGTCCTTCTGACGTCACCGCTATTCCCGCGCAAAAAGCAGACGGACTTGTTCCCTGCATAGCCTTCTGCGTGTTTATTTATTTTATTTTTTTTTTTTTTGTTTAGCGGCTCTGACGTCACCCGGCTGCGGTGGCGCTGCTATCGACTCGGCGCATGCGCAGAAGCGTCACTCAAATCTCGGTTCAGCGCACACCTGGCGCGGACAGACGATTTGATTGAACAATTGCTCTTGTCAAACTCTTTCGTTTACCCCTTTTGCGAGAAGGGAAGAAACGAAATAGAATAAAAAAGTGCTTTGTTCCGAGGTCGCGGCCTGTGTTCCCCAGTATTGCAAGATATTACTTTTTTATCTTGTTTTTGTTTAAAGATTATTTGTTGGTACTAGAAACAATGTGACCTACATATTTTCCCTCGAAGCGTAGTATAACGGGAGACGTGGGACACAGCCCGAGGACCAGAAACGACATTTCGCTACGATACTACCGTACGTACACGCTTCGAATCGAATGAGCCCACCGTTGCGAAAGGGTCATATCCGAAAATCTTCCGCCCGAATTCCCCACCGGTGAGGAGGAGGGAAGGCTTCTAGAGGCGGCCGAACTTGACCCCATGACCCAAATTCCGAGTGCCTCGGTTACGACGGAAACTAGGGTCGCGAGCCGGGCCAGCGTTCGTTTCATTTTGTTTTTTTATACGTTTGATTCGTTTTGTTTTTCTTCAGCCGGATGGTTTTCGACGCAGTTCGCCCCCGTAAACAGGCGTTGCATTAAAATACAGAAATAAGTCCAAAGAAGGCAAGGTTTGAGATACGAAGGAAACTTCCCGGCACGCTCGAAGCAAAGAGTCCAAAAAAAGGATGGACGGGAGGGAAAAAAAATGGCGGAGGACGGGGGAAAGCGCGGAACGGTGGATACGGCGGAGAGGCGAGAGACCGCCTCCGGTGACGTGGAGGCCCGTGACGTCGAGACGCCCCTCCCGCGGAGTTTTGAAAAGGTGCGAAGCGTGCCCCTTAGCCAGTGCCTTGGGCAGCGACAACATTGTGAGCCATGCGGTGCGCTACGTTGCTGGCGCTCCTCGCAACGCTGCAGTGGATCGCGTCGGCCGCACTGCTAGGCGGCTACTCCCAAGACGGTGAGTATGGACTCTCCCACTCCGTACTCCCCGCACACTCGGTAGTCCTCACTTGACAGCGGTCTGTACTTTGTACTCTCCACCGTACTCAGTGGTCTTCAGTACTCAGCCGTCTGTACTCAGTGCTCTTCTCCGTACTCTTCGTACTCAGTCAGTAGCCCTCAGCACTCAGCAGCCTGCACTCAGTACCCTCCCCCGTACTCTCCGTTCTCAGTAGTTCTTCTGCACTAAGTACTCTCCACCGTACTCTGCGCACTCAGTAGTCCTCACTACTACTAAGTCTGTACTCAGTGCTTTCCAGTGCTTATCGGTAGTCCTCAGTACTAATCAGTCTATACTCAGTATTTTCTACTGTTTATAGATAGTCCTCAGTACTACCCAGTCTGTACTCAGTTGCTTTCCCCTGTTTATCTGTGTTCCTCAGTACTAATCAGCCTGCACTGAGAACTCTCCACTGATTATCAGTGTTCCTCGGTATTAATCGATCTGCGTTCAGTACCCTCCTGTGTTTTTCAGTAGTCCTCGGTAGCCGGCAGTCTCTTCTCAACAGCGCTCCCCCCCCCCCCTTTTTTCAAGATAGTCCTCGGTATTTTGCAGTCCTTAATCGGTGCTCTCTTCAGTGTACTATTTGTACTCAGTATAGTGCTCGGTAGTCTCCCGCCGGGCAGCGGCCGGCGGCTGAACAGTAGGCAGCCGAGTGTTGCCCACCTGACACCTCCGGTTTCCAAAAGATAGAGATACCGGACTTCATTTCATTTATTTTGTTCAATACCTACAGCGCCCTCTCGGGGCAGTATTGTACACTCTAAAGCCGCGTTCGCACTGTCCGCACTGTGCGTCGTGCAAAACACGCATTGTTCACAGCAGACTTTGATGATAGAATTGTTTGGGGACGCGTCTGGAGCTTCTTCTAAGCATATGCTCACTTGATACTTGTGTGTGCTTCGAAAATGTCTGCGGACAATTTTCGTATGACCAGTGTGACGTCATACAAGGAAGGCCTAAGACAGTGACTGCAGACGGTCTCTTGTACGTCGTCTGGGAAGTGTAAACGTGGCGCAAACAAACATGGCAGCTTTATAGAAAAACAAACGCGCGATGTGCTCGAGGCGTTCACCATCTTGAGCCTGGCCGATCGCAGCGTTAGTCAGCCCTTGGTAGCTTTGAGCGAAAAAGAAGTTGCCTTCTTGCGACCATTTGACTGCGACTGATCTGTTTACCCCCTGGTGCCGTTGTCCCCAGTAAAAAAAAAGATTGTGTTTCATCTTTCTTTTATTCACTTAATATACCTGAGTTGTGAGTGTGCACCTGTCTGTAATCTCTGTTCCTTCCTCGTTTGTCCTCGTCTCTTTATGCGCGATTTTTAACCATGTTAAACATGACCACACTGCTAGTCACGGCGGCGCAGTATACCAAAACTACGTTCTCAACCTATTTTGCGCAATATACGAAATATTAATATTCAACTTGGCTTAAAAAGGAATAACAGTGAAAAAAAAAGGCCACGAGGTAGTTGACGTATACTTTGCACAACCATTTCCGTTAGTCACAATCTGATCAGACATGCCGTTCCGTGTTGAGCAGTAATCAGAGAGAGAGAGAAAAAGAGGACAGCATTTTTATGTGATAAGAATTGCCGAAGCTCGCACGAGTCATTTGTCGGAGAGGCAATATGATAGGCAGAATGGCAATGCGAAGTGCAAGTTCGTCTGCTTCTTGCACAGGGGTTCCGATCATGTAAGAACGCCAAACTCTTATTAACTGATTAAAAAAAAATAATAGTGGGTAGACCTCGAGGCATTTAGCATTGAGGTCTATCCACTATCCTTTCAATCAAAACCAATCAGAGCTCTCCGTAGTTCTTTCCTCACTGCAACTCCTGCACGAGAGGCTTTTATGTTTGTTTGTTTTTTGTTTGTTTTTTGTGAGTGATTGGCTAAGCCGGTTGTAAAAAAAAAAAACTCGCAAAGACAACTACCCCCGTGACGAGGCACTTTTGGCGTTCCGTGATTGGCTCGGCAGAATCGTGGCGTTGGTCAGCTACATGTCGGACTTGTTGCGAAAATCGCCTTCTGCTCTCTGCCATCTTTGTCTGCTCGGCTTCGCAACGCCTTCTGAGCGTGCGCTGTAGCTCTGCTGTGCGGCATATCAGACGCTGCGCGTGCGTTCACAGCTCGGTGACTCAGCATTGTTGTGCCCGGGTGATAAGCGATGCAATAGATGTCGAAAGAAGGTAGGGAGGATAGAAATATTGCCGAGACAGATTGGAAAGGCCTGGACTCCCCGAGTCGTCTCTTTCCAAAGTTGACCGTCCAAGTAGTCAGCTTTATAAGCGGGTAAAAGAAAATGGTCCAAGCACGGGCGAGCTGGGACGTATTAATCGGGATGTTTGAACCACCGAGACTGCGAAGAAAACTGGAGGATAAATTAAAAGGGAAAGAAATTCTTTCACAGCATATATTACGGACGGACTGGTATTGAAAGAAGTCTCTACATTTTTGAACCACACTATGCATCTGTCAGACGGGATCATTCTAAAAAAAGCCGAGGAATTTCGTTACAATACTGACTGTTTTTCATTTTCATTTTTTGTTCAAACCATTCGAGAGTGGAATACACTTAGGGAAGAAATTGTGTCTATTACTGATAATGATCTCTTTTATGATAAACTGCAAATCTGTATCCGCGGTTAATAATGTGTTTTATTGTTCCGTTTATCTATTGTATGAATATCTATTGTTATTGCATAATGTTTCCTGTACCCCCCTGTATAATGCCTAACGGCGCTGCAGGTATTCATGTAAATAAATAATAAATAAATAAGAAAGTGACAGATCAAGCGTATCAGGTATATCTTTATAAGGCCCGACGTACGCCTTGTTGCGCTGCTTCCTGCCTGCGTTTCAATGAGCGACAATGAGCAGCAGGTATCTAAAGTTCACCGGAAAATCGGAGGAGGTATGGCCAATATCTGACGAACCATGGATCGATGCGTATTTCAAGGCCTTACGACGCCTAGAATAAGCACAATTACTTCATCAATCTGGCCTCCTTCCAAAAATTACACCTTTTTTCAATAAAACCAAAACAGTTTTATTGAAAAATAAAGATTGTTTTCTTTTTTTTTTGCCCATACAGTTTATATTCCATATCTGAAATAACTATTTTACGTGTTATATACCTTGCGTGTGTTGTAGTTTATAAGTTCTAGGGCTCCGTGTTTTCGGATAAATCCGAAGAACTCAGAAAAACACCCGCTGGTAAAATTTTGGTCAATTCGGATTTATCCGATAATTTCGATGTGCCAATTACCCCCCCCCCCCCTCACACACGCACACAAGTATTTTACAATTAATGGTTTGATAAGCGCGCAGAGTCAATGGTCCTGGAAAAATGCCACATCATTTTTGTTTCAAATTTCGTTCATTCCATCAGGCCATTGTACTTTCGGGTCACGGCAAGAGTCACTGTTTATGTTTCCAGTTTGGGTCATACTATTTGTGGTTTAGAGGAAGGAGAGGTTATGTTTTTGTAACAGTGAAAGCTATGGACCATAAAGATTGCATAAAGTGGGGAAGAGGGACAGTTGAAACTTCTCTATTACATCCTTTACCACTCTACCTCGCGCGGCCGCACGGTAGGTTGATGGAATAGTATGGAAGGAATACAAGCTTCCCAACGACTACCTCCAGGACTTTATTGATTTTACAGTATCGACATTTACTCAAGTAACACTTGTGTGCAGCTTTGTCGTGAGACAAATTAGTGTTGCCAGTAGAATGGCACCAACGCCAAATACAACTTTAAAAAAAATTAATTGAAACAATCGCTTTTTTTGGATATTATTTATTTATTTTTTACCAAGAGACAATGCGATATTAAACTCCGAATTTCGGAGAATGGGAAATCAAACAAAAGTAAACTTCAATAAACTCCGAATTTTCGTCAAAAAAAAGAAAAACTCCGAAAAACACCCTCCGAATTTGATAAAAAATAAACTCCGAAAACACGGAACCCTAGAACTTATAACACACAGGTCAATTTTTTGTTTTGTCACTGTCGTCCACTATACATTTCCCTGTCAGGTGGCACATAAATGACACTGTTATTTTTTTCGCCTCTCTCTAATAATTTCCCAATTATCGATATTCTAATCAAAGAGCTGTGACGCGTTGCACTCGCAATATTTTCTGCGCGCTTCATGCGTCTCTTAACTGTATCAAATAAGGAAGATCGTCTTCTATTTATTATCAGATTTTTTTTCTTTTTTGGGAGACTTCCCTACGCTATTGTGAAATATGGGCTGTGTAGACGAATAACGTTTTTTTTTTTTCCGTATGAAGACGAGCGGAAACCTGCCTATGAAGTTAGGCGCCCACAAATCAATCGAGGTGATTCGTAAAGATATTCGAATAATTACGATTCGTCATCCGCGCTTCATCGCCGTGAGCGTTCAAACAGGTTATGAAGGAAGTATGCGCTACCTTTGGGAACCCTTCTGAACTCGAGAAAAATAACTGCGGTGTCTCGTTAATATAGACACCTCCGCCCCCCCTCCCCCCTTTCCCCCCCAAAAAAAATCCGTTTATACTGCGAATTGTTTCTAATAACCAGACAAAAATGTGTGTGTGTTTATCCAGTTCTTCTCCGAAGATGTGGTCTTTAGACAGTCCGGTATCCGTATTGGACAGTTTTAGAGTCGAATGCAATTGGGTCCTCCAAACAACTCGGGGTTTCGCACTGCGCATGCGCAAAAATACTGCGCATGCGTGGTAGGACACCCCAAGCTGCTTGGCAGACCCGCGGTGTTCGGACCCCCATATTGTCCAACTCCCCGTTAACGGAGTTCATATTAACGAGACGTCACTGTAATGTCATTTCCAGCGAATTAGTTCCCCCCTCCCCCTGAATATGATCTTTGCGTTGCCACGCGAACATTTAATGCAATTAGCCGTAAATTACGTTCACTATCGAATGAGTTTGGGGAAACTCTTTCGTAA